TCCGTCTGGATCGGTGGCTCAATCCTCGCCTCCCTCTCCACCTTCCAACAGATGTGGATCTCCAAGCAGGAGTACGACGAGTCCGGCCCTGGCATCGTCCACCGCAAGTGCTTCTAAGAAGTTTCTCTCGAAACAAATTACTATTGCCACTATCAAAAAAAAAAAAAAAAAATTCAATTTTGCAAAAGACCATCACATATTGCTGCACCGCTTCGTCACACTACTTCACGACGCTATTACATTCTGTATTTAGTTTGTCCCGTGGCGATTGCTGCCATCTGAGCAAAAATTTCATCTTTTGTATATAAATAAGTTAACATCTTATGGAATAAATACTACCTTATATTCTTACAGCCGATCAATCCCCATGCTTTCATTTCGCCAACCTCTCAACAATCACCCCCACGATCAAACATACGATAACCATTCAATACCGGGGAATGTCTAAAACCGTCCAAGCTAAATTAGATCGTGCACTACCTCACAGAGACATCAGATTCATCGACAAAAACTATTTACCAATCCCTAATTCTCACAACTTACATAATCCCTCAATCGACTGCATGAAACCCTCAAACACTCGATCCTCTCGATCCTCTCCACCCCTCAATTCCATCCAGCCCTCAAAATCCCTCTAGAAAAATAAATTAAAATCCTCACAACCTCCATAAAATCGAACTAAAGCACCGATACCATGCGTGAAGCAACCGGGAGACAAAACAAACAACAAGGGAGGCCTTCATAAATTCTTTACCACATGATCCCGTCCATCCCGTGGTCCTCTTGGAACCCAGATGCTCCGAGCTCCACACATGTCGCCCTCGGATGTTGTCTGGAGTCGAGTGGATCGTCTAGTGTTGCACAGAGTACCCCCCGCATGTATTTCCTTCCAATTCCACCCGACAAAAAACAAATGAAAGAAAAAAAAAGAAAATCCCAAGAGAGCCCCTCAAATATTCATCCCAAGTCACTGATTTCATTCGTCATGACTACCGAAATACCCCCTCGATTAAAAAAAAGAAAAAAAAATACGAAGTAATCAATAAATACTTCATCATCCTAAAAGCCAATCCCTCGATTATCAATTGAAAATAAAAAATATCGGATAGATGTGATAATTCATGATAAACTTTGAGAGAGATTGAATTGTGACGGTTCGATTGGAGACGCGCTAATGAAAGACCCCGGGATGGTGGTGTCTTGGTGAACCCCTGAGACGAGATTTAGCGAGAATATGGGGGGGAATAAAGTGTTTTAATTCTTGGTCTAGCGGATTGCCTAGGCTTTTGAAAAGTTTAAATGCTAATGGTGGGGTAGCTGGGCGCCTTATTTGGATTCGGGGGGCGTCAACGTACCATCGCTCGTCGACGGCTTTTTGCCTCCGTCTGTTGTTTTTTCCATCTCACTTTATCACTTAGGGCAAACTAAGGACCTGTGCTAAGACAGTTGGATAGAGCGATGGTGAGGGTATAGCGTGGCAGTAGATTTCCATGTAAGGGGCGGATCGTTATTTTTGGCTCAGACCAATATGGATAAAGGGACCCCACATCGCCTTCAGACCGCCACTCGCTGCTTGGTCCCTTGCAAGACGAACGCCTTCAGCGCGTCAACGATTTTTTACATTTATTAACGGTACATATCCTAAGAATTTATCCTCCTCAAATCAAAGATTCAACTTTTTTAATCCCCCAATCAATGAATAAAAAATTTTTTTTGTGGAAACGGTGTGATCTGTGATCGACGGATAGGGCTTTGGAATTTTGTTGCTTCTGATAGTGTGATTAAGATATTTGTGTGTGAATAGGGTAATTGATCTGTCCATTTGGCTAAATCGAGAGATCGTTGTAGTATATTGTCGGATTTTATTCTCGGTGGATTTATTTTTATTTAGAGAAACGGATTGGGGAGTGTATGAGTGATAAGGGATTATTGTCTAATTGATTTTTTTGATCGCAGAACGCTATCCTAAAAATCAATCAAGATGTGTGACGATGATGTAGCGGCGTTGGTCGTGGACAATGGATCTGGTATGTGCAAAGCTGGATTTGCTGGGGATGACGCCCCTCGTGCTGTATTTCCCAGCATCGTAGGTCGTCCCCGTCATCAGGTGAGAGAGGATTTTTTTTTTTAAACTGGTATTTTAATGGGATTTTTGCTATCACGATCGCCTATTAATAAATGATGATGGTAATAGGGTGTGATGGTGGGTATGGGACAAAAAGACTCGTACGTAGGGGATGAGGCTCAGAGTAAGAGAGGTATTCTTACTCTGAAATACCCGATTGAGCACGGTATCATCACGAATTGGGATGATATGGAGAAGATCTGGCATCACACTTTCTACAATGAACTCCGTGTTGCCCCTGAGGAACACCCAGTTCTCCTCACCGAGGCACCCCTCAACCCTAAGGCTAACCGAGAGAAGATGACCCAGATCATGTTCGAAACCTTCAACAGCCCAGCCATGTACGTCGC